GCCACAATGGTTTTAGTATAGGCTAAGACAGTGTTATAGTTTTTAATCTGTGGTTCAGAAATACTTCGTTCTATACAAAGTCTCGTTTCGTAGAAAATCTGTATACTAAGCCTGTAAGTAAGCCATGTCTGACTCGCACAATAATTGTAAAATAGAAAGTCTACAATCATGTCAAACTATGCGGGTTATTCGAGATCAATAAACGTTTTTTAATTCAAAACACAATTACTCCGAGTGTCGGCCATTTTTGTTCAATTGGGACAATAAAGACTGAACGTATTAAGGCACCGCATACTTAGTTGTATACAAACATCGATTTTACGTATATATATACGCTATGGTCGAGGGCTCGAGTCTATAATAACATATTAGTAACGTTAAATATTAAATAAAAACCCAGGTCAACTGCTTTTTGCTTCATTCGCACATACAACAAAGTTTTTTTGCTAAAACAAATTTGATCACAATGTAACTATGGTTTCGTCGTTAATTTTAACACTGAGCTATTAAATACTGTCTATAGTTTACGCGAGTAGTACACATTTAAATAAAACACTTTAACGGCTTAAAACGCGATATATTAGTTAAACTTATTTGAAAATGATTTTAACTAATACATCGCGTTTTAAACTGAGCTATTTTCATAATATGTATTATATTATACAATGGTGAAACGCTATTGTCGCTAGTTTGTAATGTAAACGGTTATGTTGCAATTTACAACAAAATATTTTTTATAGCCCGCCATTGTGTACGAGAAATGTCATAATCTTATTTAACATAAAATAGAAAAAAGACATTTACCAAAACTAGTTTCTAATGGCATTTTATTTCAATGTACTTGTTATTATGAACTAAAACATGTAAGGAAAAGTATTTTTCAAGTTAATTCGTTTCCTACGTTCGTTTCAACTTAATTCGTCTAACAATAACATATTTTATAACTTATTAAATAATGCAATATTTAAATAAATCTCTTTTCTTCGCCATCACTAAGGAACTGACCTATTTCTATTCATTCACACACAGGAATCGAAGTATCGTCTGTAGTTTACGCGAGTAGCTAAATGCGTACTACTCGCGTAAACTACATGTAAAACACTTTGCAACGGTTTAAAGCGCGAAATGTATTAGTTAATTTATTGTTAACTACTTTGTAACAGCCACGGTAACGGAGGGATATCCAAAATGTCGGGCCTTTGTAGAAATAAAGTAAAATTAATTTAACTAATATATTTCGCGTTAAAACTGTTACAAATGTTTTGTTTAAACGCAGGAAAAAAATTAGTAATTGGACCGAGGGTTTGATGTAGTGTAACGCAATGATAAGCATTGGGCCATGAAAACAAGCAATGACCACTAGTGAAGTGACGTTGCGTTTCCAATGGCTTCTGGTAGCCACTTGACAGTTATGTTCTAATTCTGTGCTAGTGTAGAAGAACCATTGAAATTATTATAATACAAGCTTCCGTCTACTCACTTAATGCTCTGCGTACTCAAAATGAAGGCACAATATGGGAACGGATAAAATTACAGAAGGTAATTTCAAAGAACTAAAGATGGAACAAATTATAAGATTCTGCAAGCAAAATGGAAGGTTTGAAAGGGGAAACAATGAGAGTTGGAAAACCCAAAGTCTTCTGCAAGGAGGAAATGGATGAAATTGTCAGCTGATGGTGCGGACTGATTACCCGGCCTGCTATCGGTGTCCCCAATAGAAAATAATAACAATAATTGCAATTAGGTATAATATTTATTTCAATAGGTGAAACTCATTTACCCTCTGTAGCTAAATGGTTAAACGTGTTAAATACTGTCTATAGGTTACGCGAGTAGTACACATTTAAATAAAACACTTTAACGGTTCAAAACGCGATATATTAGTTAAACTTATTTGAAAATGATTTTTAACTTCGGCCCGACGTTTCGGATGCTTTGCAGCAGCCGTGGTCACGGAGAGATTTTCAAATAAGTTTAACTAGTATATCGCGTTTTAAACCGTTAAAGTGTTTTATTTAAAAGGTTAAACGTGTTGCCTAGCATTGCGTTGAGCGCGAGACGTCCTGGGTTCGAATCCTGGGGAATCAGTTAATTGTTTCGGCCGGGCAGGGCAGAGAAGTCTGATCAACTACTTGCCTGTAAATAAAACCGATCAGTGAAAGGGACACAGAAATGTGTTCGCCCCATGCCCCACGAGAGGAAACGGGATTTTACACTTTGAAACTCTATTATTACTTAAAAAATAATTTAAGTGCTCCTAAAATTTAGTGTTTGCCTATAAATAAAATCTATTAAACAAACAAATGTGTTCCCTTATACTTGCATAGGAGAAGTGGGATACTACATTCGGAATTTAAGAACTAAAGATATATACTTGAATCAGTATTGGCATTAGATGAATTTACAAATTATATCTTCGCCTTAAGATAAATTGAAGGAATGCGGCCGAGAGCTAGGTAGTCTGCTGCATGAACAACATATTAAGACGCGTAATTGCGTATGTTGTAAACTAGACATTACTTGTTCTTGGTGTACCTTGGCATAATTCATAAAACAATATTTAATAGAAGTAAACATATAAAATTTTACCATAAAGGCATTTAAAATCAGACAAATCTCAATTAATATCTACTAACTGCACTAAATTAAGTTTACCTAGTATGGAGTGGGGAAGTGTTATGCGTTGATTTTTTATAACTCTCTCATCATCTTACAAAACTCTTCGACAAATGAGTGACAAAAATGTTTTATATTAAAGGTCCTCATTGGTCACTACACAGGAAGTACTACAAATAAATATAGTTAAATAAGATCTTTAGGAATGCGAAATATAATAATAATTAAAATTGACAGTGTAGCGCGATGAAAGATACATTTTAACGACGTTTCTTACTTTGTACGGAATTCATATTTTATTTAATAAATGTCAATAACGACCAGGCACACATAAACAGAAATAGGTAAATTCCGTTGAGTGTTCGCTAGGCAAACTCTGGTGCAACACGGGACGAGGCCTACAGTCTAAAGCTGTCGTAATTTGTGCAATTTCCACATCGTTGTGTACTTTGTCGTCGGTTGTACTTTTAGGCCCAAAACGGACAACGCGACTGTCATGGTCTACTGAAAACGACATAACGCAACCATTTTGAAACTTGTTTTCAACAAATAATCAACAATTTTTCATATTTGGAACTGGACATTTTGCGTCCGCATGAAACTGTTAAACCGGTTTCAAACGAATATAAGGTTAAGTACTATCTGTAGTTTACTTGTTTAATACGCATTTAAATAAAACACTTGTAACGGTTTAAAACGCGAAATGTATTAGCTAAACTATCTCCCCATGACCATGGCTGCTGCAAATCTTCCGAAACGTCGGGCAATAGATAATAAGTTTATAACAACTAATGCAATTCGTTTTATTGTAATAACAAAGGGTTCCATCGCAGTTGCATTTATCTATGTGTTCTCGGCCTAAGGCTAAGCTATGGTCAGCCAGTTGTTTACACTTTATAAGACTAAAATTAATAGCTCACTTTTACTTTTAAAATTAATACTTATGCAGGAGTATGAGTGTCATACTTACTCATAAAAACTATTTTAGCAATCCTAACAATCCTTCCAAATTCTTAATGTGTAATCTTCGTAACAATCAAATTAAATCTGCTACGCTAGCGCCATCTTTTATCCAAAACTAGGTACCATGACTGGCATAAAACAATTATTTGTAAAAGATCATTATTTATTTAAATTTAAATTAAATATTGTTTACGCTAAACTCATTAAAATGTTACTTTAACTTGAAATCAATACTAATTTCAAAATTTATATCTATATAACATTATTATTCTACTACATGTAGGTATCTGCCTAGAACGGTCTAATTGAGTACTAGATCTTTAGGTATCATATAAATACTGAGTTCAAGATCAACGTTTATGACATGCAAATAATTTAACTGCGACTCGTTGGAACGTTGTATTTGAATATTAACATTTTAAGTGTAATTTGAATTCGCTTTCACAAATCTTTTTTATATTCAGGCGAAGTCTTTAAATTAAATAAATTATATCTATAAATAAATAAGTGAAACTGAACCTCAATCAGAGGACTGTAAAAATTAAATTTACTGTCTCTCCCGATATAGGAACTTAGGACCTATCATCGTCTTGCCTGATACTTAAAATTTAAATTTTGTATTTGGAACTTCGGAAACATTAAGTTATTGAGATTATGTAACATTTTTGTCAGATTGTAAACTATTACATACAAATTATATGTTACGTAAATGCAAATTAAAAAAAAGTATGTTACGTTTAGACTGATGTTTTGTAATATTCAGTGTTCAATCATTATCATCACGTTGTTAACTGATATACAATATCAGTGTCATCAACAGATTTCGTAATACTGTCTATAGTTTACGCGAGTAGTACACATTTAAATAAAACACTTTAACGGTTTAAAACGCGATATATTAGTTAAAAATCATTTTCAAATAAGTTTATAAATATATATATATATAATAGTAATATATCGCGTATAATTCTTGAATACGGTCCGCTTTTTTTTACTTGGTTTTATATCATCCATTTAAGACGAAGCGAAAAGACGATTATAAATTCAAAAGTTTATAAGGTTTAACAGACACTTGTTACTTCTTCGATATTAAAGATAGTATGTAATATTTACAGCCTGTGAAAATGTTACGTCGTTTGTACTAAAATATTATTTGAATTACAAAATTTTGATACAAAGACTACCAAGAGATGGTACATAGAGATATATATATCACGATTGGCATATTAATAGGGTCATAATAGATATAAAATGGTTACATTAGAGCTGCAGTGATAACATTCACCAGCATACAATCACTAGCAAAACTAGTGTCAATTGTGAATTTGAAATCTTAATATTTACTGATAATTCGGTTCAGAACGACCTTATCAAATTTGATAACAAAAACAATGTTTGACCAGTGGTTAAATAAAATAGCGATGGTTTTAAGTCGCGTAGTGTTAATGATATTAAGTGCAAATGTCTATCATACTTTCATTGTTATAGAGATATTGTTGAACAGATCTATCGCGTGGTACCCTAAACGACTAACAAAGACAATCAATGCGATTCATTCTTATTTACTTATTGGTGCGTTTGTCTTCTTAACACATTTATCGATACAGGTATTATACAATTGTGTGTAATTTTATACAATAATGATTGGCGATTTACGTAAAGCCAGTTACGATTTATTGCCTGCATACAATTGTTGTGTTGTAACTTGATATATTTTTGCATACATAGCTACAAAGAAGGATAATAACAAGTATACAATAGAGAGTATTTTTAAAAGGTCATTTGTCAATTCTATGATGATGAGTAGTTTTTTGTTTTTATTTTTTTATTTCTATGCGTTCCGGGTTCAGGTCAGGATTGTTTCACTACAGGCAATCTGACCTCATCGGTTTAAATCTATACTAAAATATAAACTTGAAGAGTTTGTTTGTATGAACTCGCCAAACCTCGAGAAACTACTGGTTCAAATTGAAAGATTATTTGTGTTGGTTAGATCATTTATCGACACAGCCACTGTCTCAATATATTAATTATTTGTGACGACGTTTTTTATGCTTCTGTAAAGCTTAAGAAACGTCGGGTCGCTGTTAAAATTTAAGTAATATTGTTCGCGTTTTAACCCACAAGTGTTTTATTAATCGACCATACTAAAATATTTATTTATTAAATATTTTCGTCAGCTAACACGTATCAATGTTTTATTCGTACAAGATATACGTAATAATATATAAATGATATGTTAAATCTATTTTTAAAATGTTAAATTTAAATATAGTTTTTAATCCAACTACTTAATTATCAATTTGACTATTCCTCTTGGTTTCGAAGGAAACATGACTAACGTTGATCTTTACTACAAAAACGAATCTGTTCGTATGTCGATCATAGACTAATTGTGATTTTGATTTCGAGATTTAATGTCTATTAATAAAAGAGAGTGAATGAAAGAAACATTTTTTTTTCAATGATTCTTTAATCTATATATTATAAAGCTGAAGAGTTTGAACGCGCTAATCTCAGAAAAAACTGGTTCTAATGGAAAGGGTATTTGTGTTGCATAGAATATTTATTTATAAATATTCTAGCCTATACAACATCACGCTACGACATATATAAGCGAATAAACACTGGAAATTGTGGTCAAAACGGGGAATTTATCGTTAAGGGTTTTACTTGCGCACGCTGCGGATATGGTTCGAAATATCCTAAAAATATACAGAATATAATTATTCATATTTTAATAATCTAAATATATATCTGGAGAAGTTTATATCGATCTTTCAATATTAATAACCGATAAGGATCTCAAGGGCCGTTTTAGTTGTAATCAAATTTCGTCGAAAAATTTCATGTGGAAAAGAACGTTACATATAAAACGAACGGACTTGGTCAGCTCTGTATAAATTTTAATTATGAAATTGTTTACATCGTAATGCATTTTATGTAATATCTAAACAATACTTTCCTTTTTCAGACGATCATGATGAACGCTTTCATGCAATGGTTTCTACGATTCCTAGTCTCATTGCTAGCGATTATAGTCTATCCTATAACGTACTTGATAAACCTGAGAAGAAACAGAAAATGTCCGCCACCTACGAATCCTATACTTTTCAAATCAGCAACTACGCTGGCTATGATGATACGTAATAAACAGGTATTTTATTATTTTAAAAATCGAAAATAAATTGAAAAAATTTTCAACTCGGGCAGGACTTGAACCGGCATCGTCAGCCTTCCGTGCTGTTGCTCTACCAATTGTGCTACCGAGTCCTATGTCTCATCGTCGAATTTTTTCTACTTATTGATACATGCACCCCTCGCGCAATGTAATTTCAACCTTAACACTTGCGTATTAAATTTTTTCAATTTATTTTCGATTTTTAAATTATATAGTGCCTTCATGTGCAATAACATGTGAAAACATATTAATGTTTTCAAAGGTATTTTATTATGATAATATTTTTTGGTTCTTTTCATAACAGGAGAGACTAGCAATATATTATATCTAAACGTCAATTGACCGGCTCGTTAATCTAATGGTAGCAACATATGGCTAATGATCGACAGGTCGTGGGTTCGATCCCTACGGAATTTAACATGTTTCTAATTTATTTATATTATTTCTGAAACATGTTAGACTTCGTCTGGAAATCTGGATATTAAATCGATGGTAGGGGAATATCTAAATTCCGCCTGGATTAGGAATTCCGTCCACAGGTGAAATAGTAGTAGGGTGTAATCGCGTTTCGGTTTCAGTGGATTTCCGAATATCCAAAGCCGAAATATCGGCAGCGCATTTTGTTTAGATGTTATGTGGCTGGGGTATCTCACCTACCATCAAGAACCCCATGCTCGTCTGTCCTGCTCTATAATAAAAAAGAACCGTAAAATGTATTAATTTGTTATATGTCTAAATTATTTCACATTGTATCAAGAGAATCCAATCGTTATCTTAACTGACATAAATAGGAGACAGATCGCAGTATCTACGTAGTATAAGTAGAATTAAATAAACTCTTATATTATTCACTATAATAAACTGTATGTAAAATATAAACGCAAAATTACTATCTAAAAGCGAAGTAAAGTTCTCAGGGACTGTTGTTATAAATTCTCTTTATTTTAGTAGCTGCGATAACAGATTTATTTATAGCACTTTATAATAAATTGTATTAATTAGTATATAATTTGAAATGTTACAGATAACTTCAGAAGAAGTTGTAACAGCCTATATAGAGCGATGCAAGGAGGTGAATCCTTACCTAAACGCGATTGTGGAACCACGGTATGATATAGCAATCAGGGAAGCCAAATCAATAGATAAAATGATTTGCTCGAATGACCGATCGAATGAAACCCTGGAAAAGGAGTTCCCTTTACTAGGTGTTCCTCTAACTGTTAAGGAAAGCATCGCTGTGGAAGGTACGTTATTGAGTATAGAATATTTATTATATTTAAAGAAAGGACTTTGAACGGTTCACAACTTGAAATGAAACTTGAAATGTAGTAGTTAAACTTATTTACAGAATATTTAAACAATAGCTCAATGTTTCGGTTACTTTAAAGCTGGCGTGGTCAGAGGGGGAGTAAATATGTTAATCTCAAAGTAAAAAAAGAAACGTCAGGCCGTAGTTAAAATAAGTTTTAAATAAGTAAATCTTATACATTGCGTTTTATAATCCGTTAAAAGAGTTTTATTTAAAGGTGTACTACTCGCCTAAACAACAGACAGTACATATTTAGTACCCTACAACATGTCATATACTTGAATATAACTTTTTGATAACACTTGGCTATTAATTTCTTCTTGACGTGTTAGTTGCCCTTTGTCGTTTGCTTTAGACTCTAGAGTGTAGACAGACAGCGAAAGATTTTATATCAATGTTCCTCAAATTTTGTACCAATTTTTAACTTTTTTATAGAAATTTGAATACTCCAGTACCCTCGTCCTTCTTAGCACATCCTTCATCCAATATGCAATTTAACTAAACATTTTTCTTTCAGGAATGAGTAATGACTCTGGTACCGTTTACCACTATCGAAAACCGGCTACAAAAGATGCCGAGATTGTTCGTCTAGCGAAAGCGGCTGGTGCTATACCCATAGCTGTCACTAACGCCCCGCAGCTCTGCATGAACTGGGAAACGTACAACAACGTAACAGGTCTTACAATGAATCCATACGACCAAAAACGGACAGCAGGTGGCTCTTCAGGTGGTGAGGTAAATATCCTTAATACAATTTATCGAGCTCGAGCTTCTGTTCGAGCTGTTTTTGTTCAAAGTTTCGTATTATTTAAATAATTATATGGATTTCTATGGATGGATGATATTATATATGCATATCATAAATTAGCAGCATCAGTGACGTCGTCCACGTAAAATAGTTATTTTGAGCGGCCAAATTAGTTTTTACCAACTTCCTCCTTACCTTGATTAAAGATGTAACCCACGACGACAGTCGCGTTCTTACAAGTTAATCTTAAAAGAAAGACATATACTGTCGTTGATACTCTTTTACATCATTTAAAGAGAAATCATTCTTTCATACATAATTTTTGGATATCTTAAACCGTTTTCCCAGCGTAGGCATCGGAAAGTCGCAGAGATTAATAATTTTCCCCGTTCTTTCCACATTTTCCGTTGTTTCCTCGCTCCTATTAGTCATAGCATAATATATATATAGTCTTCCTCTATAAATGCTCTAACCAACACAACAACATTTTTTCTATTCGATCCTCTACAGGAACTACTAACTACTTCCTGATAGTACGTTCAAACAAATAAACCTTTCAGCTTTATCAATTAGCATAGATAAATACTTTCAACAATAATAACATAAAACTCTTACATTTCAAAAGTTGTACATGATTATTTCCAGTCGGTGCTCATAGCAGCAGCTGCTTCAGTTATTGGAGTGGGCTCAGATATAGCTGGCTCTTTACGACTGCCACCAATGTTCAATGGCATTTTCGGACATAAACCTACACCTAGACTTCTATCTTCTGAAGGTAAAATAAAACATTACTCTTTTAATTAAAATCATCATACAAATCGGTATAGCTATATATAGACAATCCAAAAGGTTTCTCATAAATATTTTTCTTTTTTTAGGCCACGTTCCCGACTGTCTAGATCCCGATTTCGATGAATTCTTTACACTCGGACCCATAACACGGTATGCTGAAGATTTGACCTTATTATTAAAAGTATTAAGAAAACCTCATGGCCCTGAAGTACCATTAGAAAAGCCAGTAAGTATACATTAATTAAGGGTCATGAAAATTGTTCATTAATTAGTTAAGTGAAAGGACACATCTACATGATATTTACAGGTAGACCTTACACGTCTGAAATTCTACTATATGGACGGCGATGGTGGCTATGTTTTAAATAAAATAGGACCTGATGTTAGAAAGGCAATGGATAAAGCTAAAGCCCATATTAATTCAACTTACAATTTAGACGTTCAAAAGGTATTATAATGTCATTCATGACTTATAATTTGAAATGCAAATATTTAAAAACTATACGTTCTCCTGTTTCAGCTACATATTAAAAATATACACCACATGTGGGAGATAAGTGTACGAGTACTATTTAAAATAAAACACGTTCAAAACATATATACAGACCCCAAAGAACGAGAAAACCTCATATCAATGTGGCCAGAGGTCCTGAAAAAACTTTTTGGAATGTCTAATCATAACTTGACGTGTGTGGCTTATGGACCAGTCAAGAAGTTCTTTGATAGTCTACCTGAGGGCTATTACAATAAGCTAGTTAAGACATTGGATGAAATTAAAAGGGACATTTATGTATGTAGCGCATGTAACGTATGTATTGATCGATATTTGCCGATTGTTTTTTGAAAATCTTTTATTTTATGTTACAGAGAGCGCTTTCGGATAATGCAGTTTTATTCTTCCCGACATACCCGGATCCAGCGCACTTGCATTACAGAGTGTTTTACAAATTTTTAGACTGCGGATACCTGACGATATTCAATGCGTTAGGACTGCCGTCGACTAATTGTCCACTAGGTCTAACAGACAAAGGTCTTCCAGTCGGAATGCAAATCGTTGCAAATAGATGTAATGATCACCTAACAATTGCTGTTGCTAAAGAATTTGAAAAAGCATTTGGAGGTTGGGTTCCTCCTAATAAAGAAAGTTTTGATGGAGTAAAAACAGCATAACTTTAAGTGTCTGCCAAAACAACCAATGTTAAAATAGGCTACGTGTTAAGACTGTGATGTAGAATTTAGACTAGATGAAGACTATGTATCAGATAATAATATTGCGAATGATGGCAAATGTTTCACACAAAAATATTAGTCGCACGGTGAAAATATAAATGGCTTACTTATAAGAAATCGAAATATATTGAGTATTATTATTATTTTTAAATATACGTAGTTGTAATAATATTTTTGATGAGATATTTTAATATTATATAATTTTTGTAAAGTTTTTCTACTATTACGTTACTTAATCTGAACCTTACTACTTAAAAATGAGTTAATAATTTTAAGAGATGTTTTAATTTCAACGGCACAAATACTTTACATGATGCAAATATATACATTTATATTATGGAAAAGTATTTAACATTCAAACAAAATATCGCTTTAATTTAATAGACATTCGCGTGGATGAAAATCTTTCTTAGTACAACTGTTATTCAGAAAGATGTAGAGCACAAAAAATGTTACGCTCGTTTTATTATTACCTTTGTCGTATCTTATGTCGATTGTAAAGAAAAAAAATACAAATTTAATTGCTAAGGTTGAGCAAAGTCCAATGTTTATTTATTATCAGTCCGTTGCACTGATATTATTAATATGATAGTGTACATTATTATTTTAAATCTCTTCTCGGCGAATCATTTTCGCTGTTTTCATATCAGCGGTTAAATGATTCCTTTTCTTTGTTTAGTGTTCCGTATAATCTGTAGCTGATCAGTTGGCCAGACGATTATACGAATACCCGTATAAAAATATATATAATTAGGTGACAACACTTGAACGATCTCTAATCGAATATGATAAAATCCAATATCTATAAGTAACAACATAGTGGTTGGTAGTGGTGTATCGCGTGGTAAGGTGTGAGCGATATAAATTATAGGATTGAAAATATTACAGTTTAAAACGAATAAAGGTACTGTAACGATGGACTATTATATTTTTTTATTGATTAATATTTAACTCTTGAAATTAAAAATAAATAGTTTGAAAAAAAAATGCAATTTAAGTAACGGAAGACACTCTCTTAGGCAAAAATGCACGCTGCCCTGCAATGGCTTCTTCGGATCGTGATATCATCACTTGCAATAATACTGGACCCGCTAACGTACTTATATAGTTTAACAAACAACAAAAAATGTCCACCACCTACAAACCCGATACTTTTTAAATCGGCAACAAAATTGGCTGCAATGATCAGAAACAAAGAGGTAACTTTTACAGAACAATCTACAAATTTAGTAGGTGATACTTAAGACCAACCAGTCCTAAATTCAAATGGTTGGAAATAATAATAAATAGTTATAATCTAGTAGGGAACAAATGCCTGTTGCATATAAATAAAATGCATGTGATTTCATATTTGTTATATTCCTTATTTACGGACGATAATCAGCGACATGTTTATAAAACATTTTTTCATTTTATCTCCCAGACAAAATTATCTCTCATTGATTTTTAATAAAAATAATACTAACATTATACTATAGATATCTTCAGAAGTAGTAGTAACAGCATATATAGAACGATGCAAGGAGGTGAATGCATACCTAAATGCGATAGTGGAACCACGTTATGACGTTGCAATCAGAGAAGCGCAATCGATAGATAAGATGATCCGTTCAAATGAACGATCAGCAGAAATGTTGGAAAAAGAGTTCCCATTGTTAGGAGTCCCCATGACTGTGAAGGAGAGCCTAGGTGTTGAAGGTAGATTTCCTTCTCAATTCTGGTTTGAATAAGATTATGCTCTAACTAGTTGTTGCGATTAAAGATGAGACAAAAACCCATTTCATCCATTAACATAAGACAGAATCAAAATAATCACTCTGCTTTATCAAATGATATATATAATGTTGATAAAATCAATGAAATTTAAAAAAAGTATTTCTGTTGATGATAACAGAGAAACATTTTAGAAATAAAATCTTCGATAGACTAGAGATTATAACTAACATATAAGCACTGATTTTTACTTCTCTTACCAATACATATTGGTACTTTTATGAGTTTGTTAGTTATTCATGATGAAACGTAATTTTAATAGTTTTAACCAACACATACAACATTATACCCACCTCTATTTGTATAGGTCTTGTTATGTTGTATGTTGGTATGCTTTTTTTTAATTAGTGCTTTCATGTCGTATTAGTCTGTAATAATTTTTGTCGTGTCTTGGTTCTGAACACAATTAAGATTCATTTTGTACTTATTCCAGGAATGAGTAATAATGTGGGTTATGTATACTCCTATCGCAACCGAGCGACCAAAGATGCTGAGATCGTCCGACTGGCTAGAGCGGCTGGTGCTATACCGATAGCGGTCACAAACACACCACAGTTTTGTATGAACTGGGAGACATTCAACAACGTTACTGGTGTCACTAGGAATCCTTATAACTTGAAGTGCACACCAGGCGGTTCTTCGGGTGGTGAGGTATGAGTATAAGATATAATATGTAATATAAAAAACTCTGGATTCCAAAAACAGCATACCGGCAAACGCTATGATACCGTTTGTCAATTTGCCAAATACCAACTACGATGGCACAGATGGCGCTAGCTTAGCAGTTTTTACTTTGGCATTAGAGACAGCCTCCATCTTTAGTCTCTCCTTGACCACGGCTGCTAACATCCGAAACGTCGGGCCCCGTAGATAAATAATTTTCAAATAAGTTTAAATAATAATTTCGCGTTTTAAACCGTTAAAGTGTTTTATTTAAATATGTAACTACTCGCGTAAAGTACAATATTTGATCTTAAATGCTTTCTAAAGACACTAGAACTATCTTTCTATAGTCTAACTGTTGCCGTTGTTGTTGTTGGTACCAAATAAACAGCTCTATTATTTTACAGTCTGCACTCATAGCAGCCGCTGCATCTGTAATCGGCCTTGGTTCAGACTTAGCTGGGTCATTACGACTGCCGGCCATGTTTACTGGGATATTCGGACATAAGCCTACCCCGCGATTACTGTCTATTGAAGGTAGAGTTCGCAACAAATGATTACTATTGTTATTATTAGCATGCTTTAAAAATACGTTCTCGTCATAGGTCACTGGCCATATGGTTTGAACCATGATTTTGAAGACTACTTTGCAGTCGGACCCATAACAAGATACGCTGAAGATTTGCCACTACTCCTTAAAGTACTAAAGCGACCAAATGGCCCTGAAGTGCCATTCGACAAACCTGTTAGTATAGAACCTATTTTTTATCATTATCATTTATCATAGAAGAGGACATACAAGCATGTAGTTCTCTTGATGGTAGGTGATATACCCCAGCCTATAGCACCTAAGCAAGATGCGCTGACGACCTTTTTTTGCTTCGGATATTCGGAAATCCACAGACTGATACCGAAACGTGATTAAACTTCACGGCTTTCCTGTGGACGGTGGTTTGTGACTCGTGCGGAATTTTAATATTTCTACCACCCATTCCATATCCAGATTTCAGAAAAATTAGGAACATGTCGGATTATCGGCATTATTACAAAATATTCAGTAAATTTAAGCAAAGAAAATGTCATACATCGCCTATTTGTTATTTTCAGCTTTAAAGAAAGGTTACCTAAATTATTGCGTTACAGGTCGATATCACTCGTCTTAAATTCTATTATATGGAAAGCGATGGTAGCTACGCCCTAAACAAAATTGGACCTGATGTTAGAAAGGCAATGGACAAAGCTAAAGCTTACATAAAGTCCGCGTTTAATTTAAACGTCCGTAAGGTAAAAGAAGAATTTAATTATTTATTTGGCACTCGCAACTTTACAATGTTACGATGAATTTACAAGCTACTTTAATTTCACATATTTCACGTTGTGAGAGCCCGGTGCCTGTTATAGGTACCTGTGATACAAGTCACCTGCCCCCCCTCGCCGCCAGCTCAATATAAAATTATTTGGACAATATAAAAAAATAACTTAGTACCAAGAATTAAAGTTAGAAAAAACCACTGCGTTTTTATTATATTTTAATGAGTGTAATTGTGTTGGTGTGTAGGTATGTTTGTGTTTATGTGTACATGGGTGTAGTTTAGTATTTAGCTGTTTAGGATTTAGCGATAGGGAAGAGAAGCCTCTCGGCCTCTGAGTAATTGAGTGTTTTTAAAAAGTTTGTGACATATCTTTAAAGAGGTAAAAGTTTTTACTTTAGATATAAAGGTTGTAATTTAGATTATTTTAGAGAAATGGAATTAGGTAACAGTAAAAGTGTTGGAAATGTGAGACATTAGAATGAATATTACTTAACACGATTTTGAAAAAAAACTATATCTATGACTTTTGTTTCAGCTCCAAATCAAAAATATGCATCACATGTGTGAAATAAGCGGGCGGATAATAGTAAGGTTGAATCATGTACCGAATATCTATACCGACCCAAAGGGTCGGAGTATTTCGAAGTCGATGTGGCCAGAACTTTTGAAGAAGATGGTCGGGATGTCCAATGATAGCTTATTTAGTGTAACTTATCGACCCGCTCAACAGTTGTTGGATATTCTACCCGAGGGATATTTCGAGGAACTGCTTAAAACACTTGAACAAATTAAAGAAGATATTAAGGTAGATGGCCTTAAAACATCATTATTAGTAAATCATATTACTTTATAACTTGTGGATACTTAAAAAAAATTGGAAATTTAAAGCTAGTTACAATGACAATTAATTCTACATTTTCACCAAAATCGACCTCACCGTTAGCGAATAAAAGAATATCAAACGTTCGTCCATCTCTAAAAACTTTAGTATTTGAAGAAGGTAAATACTGTCTGTAGTTTACGCGAGTAGTAGGTACACATTTAAATAAAACACTTTAACGGTTTAAAACGCGATATATTTTAGTTAAACTTCCCCGTGCAAAGAATCCGAATTGTCGGGCCGTAATTTAAAAAAATATAGCGTTTTTTAAACCGTTAAAGTGTTTTATTTGAAGAAGTTTTATATCCAAGAAGTAAAATAATTTAAGTAAGTAATATGTTTCTTTGCAGAAAGAACTTTCGGACGACGCTGTTTTGTTATTTCCGACGTATCCAGAACCTGCCCACTTACATTACAGAGTATTTTATAAAGTAATAGATAGTGGATACTTATCGATCTTTAACGTGTTGGGACTCCCTTCGACTAATTGTCCAATAAGCCTAACCGATAAAGGTCTTCCAGTGGGAATACAGATAGTTGCAAATAAATATCAAGATCATCTTACATTAGCAGTTGCTAAGCAATTTGAAAGAGCATTCGGTGGTTGGGTGCCCCCCAAATAACTTAAGATTTTTTACGAATAACAATAACGAGTATAATAGTTATTAAATTTTGCAAATTGTGTGATGATATAGTCCTGTTTTTCATTATACACTTGAGAGATGAATAAATGTTACATATCGTTTAAGCTTTTAATAAAAGATAATATACTAAGGCATTAATGTATAATAATTACTAACCAATCAATAGTTATGTATTAATGGGTACAACCACGAAAACCGCTAAATACTGTTAATTATTTGTTTTCCCTGCCCTCTAGAGGAATATATGAAAGTTATGACTAAAATTTGTCTATGACATTTGGCTAACAGTCTATATACGGATCACAGACACGGAAAGACCTATTAATCTTCTAAAACATTAACTTATAAAAACATAACACTAACAGTCGCCTTGCGAAATTGTATGCTTATAATAAGCGTACCTTTTGTAATGACTGCAACCGAGACTATAATTTGACCAAAAAAAGTTATCTATGGTGTCTAGTTCGTCTATGCTTAGTCTGAGGAGTTTATCGATCATTCACTGTCTCACTCACTCATTTGAGCAACTGACATTAAAGCTCTACTAAAAAAAATGACTGCTAATTGTCAAAGATGTCAAACTAAGCATGAATATGAAAATTAAAAAGCTTACGCAAATTTTTAGCATTGGTTTACACTCTTATTATTCGCACAAAATATCAATTTAAATAAATTAGGTAGTCCTCATATTTTAATAGACACTATTATTTTTATTTGCCTAAACTGGCACGACGCACGCGCAGTAGTTCCACTGCCTAAAATCTCCCAGCGCCATATTGAGAGAGGCGGACGTTTTATGATTTCAGTGATAAAAACTGTGGTTAGTGCAATAAGTGGAAGTGAAAGACTTGATCGTGCCCTATGGATATATATTTAGGTACGTAAAGTGAAATAAAATGCATAAAATACTCCTTGTAGCACGTGCATTGATCTCAACAAAACGTATCGTAACCTAGACAGTAGACATAGGCCGTTCTAGTTATCAGTAGATTATCATCAATCCGCTGTTTGCTCACAGTTTTAATTATATTATTACACACGTGCGGGGAATAGCCATAGGTTTCTTGAATCTAGTTACATTAATAAGATTAAACGAATGCTTCACAAGGTTCCACGGTCGTATATAAACGGATTTCGAAGTGTTTATGTCGGCAGTTGACAGAAGCGTATATGTATATGACCGATCATAAGTCACCACACCCAGTGACCGGATTGTCGGTTTTAGTATTTATTGGTTTCTAGTTCGGATGATTGTTCACGCGCTATCGAGTCGGTGTGTGATTTTGTGAACGTATGTGAAACTAAAGAATCGTTTCGTGATGTATGAAGTGAAATGAATTGTCGTTTCTAGGAGTGGTGTGCCTCGGTTGATAGGCCTGCCGAAAGGACACGGCTCCACACGCGAGGACAGTGTGCGGCCCTCCGCCCTAAGGAAACATGGAGTGCTGCATGTCAGAAGAGGCCAAAGAACAGAAAAGAATCAACCAGGAAATAGAGCGGCAACTCCGAAAGGACAAACGCGATGCGAGGAGAGAACTCAAATTGCTACTCCTGGGTGAGTCATTCATGATATGTTTGTTAAATTTTATCAATAATGAGGCAGGGTTATAATTATTTAAGCACAATGGCAAAATAAAATCATTTATTATTGATTTGACATTACATACAATTCTTCAGGTTTTTTTTGCTCTACATATAAAATGTGTATGAATAATCTTATAAGAAACTTTTGAATTATTAAATAACAAAAGATTTGAGATCTTTATTAAAGATGTATACCTATATTTTATATGATTTGATTTATTAACAGATTACCACAGAAATTCAAACTTAAAACTAAGTAAAGTGTTTCAAAAAGATTTTTGAACCTGCAGAAAACTTTTGGAACTGAGAAATGTCATTAAATCATTGTCTTTTAATTTGTTATATAGACCTGAAATTATGTTCTATATGTAATACTTGTCTTTTGAGCTTATAAGCTCTATTGTAAGCATAAATATTTTGTTATTTGATACAATGCAATAAATTGTGATAGGGCAACATGTCTACTCTAGTACTGAAAATAAATAAAACTTCATTGCATATCATGGTCTTTTACAGATAAAACTTACAGTTATCAATTTGCCTTTGTTTAATGCATATTTTTACAAAAATCGATGCTATAAAAATTACATGATACTTCTTTATCATTATTTTTTTTCGGGGACTCTAATTGTAGACCAAGTAATAGGTCCACACAAAATGCGGAATCAGTGTAGATTCATCTTGCTATGCTGGATTTAGTTTATCCTACCCGACGTGACCCATATATTTAACCTAAAAGTAAATGTTACATTGTCGATTTCTTGACACATAGATATCATACCATGATTTGTTTATTGTGTTTACTACAATGCCTAGGGGTTCATGTCCCTTCAATACAATGAATTATTGCACTCAACAATCAAGAAGTAGATCACTCCAGTACAAGGAATGTTTAGACTTTAGTGCATTAGGATCTGTTTGTTCAGTAGAGCAAGTTTATGTCTGTAATTTATGAAAGTAGGAAATAAACAATAAACCAATTATAACAGTTTAATGTGCAAAATCCTTTAGTAAATCCATTTTAAACTTTCCTTTCGTTAATCCGTTTTTTAGCTGATGTGGCTGTGGCTTAAATATAGTTCAGGTTTAAAACCTTTTAAAGTGTTTATCTTTAAACTTAGAGGCTACTGTTGCAGCTTTAGCAATCAAATTAGCTGTACATGTTTTTCTTCTCGATTATTTTAAAGGCCTTTTAAATTTAAAAGAATTTGCTCATAGTACAACACAGTGCAATTTTAAAAATTTTATTCAACAACACCCAAATAAACTCAATTAGTTTCAATTTAAATATTTTTTTAAATTTATATAACGCCATCATTTGCAATACCATGTAAGTCTTAAGGTTTTAAAACACACAGAAAGCTGACTAAGTATCTATTAACACATCAAACTATAAATTTGCTGTCATTAATACTCCTTAAAATCCAATGTTAATATGTGGGGGCTTACACTTTTCCTTTGTCATTTTCACTGGAATAATATTGTGATGCGAACCGATTGCTATGCAACTTACTTAACTATTGAACCAATAAGGTGCTCAAGATTCATAAAGGTATAAATCGATAGTAATTTAATACCAATAGAAACATTTCTTCATAAAGCTTTCCTGAAATAAGAAGATTTGAAAAAAATAATTGAATTTTATATTTATGTAAACATGTTGTTTCAAAAGTGCTTCTGTAAGTACGGATCATGGTGCAACTTGCATTAGTACTAACTCAAATATATGTTATGATATAATATAAATATGTTACTAACATTTATAAAATGTTTATTTGTTGTAAAAAATAAATAAGATTTAAATATACTATATGGAGGCTGGAAAGAACCTAAGTGCATCAATGCTATATATAGGTTTATGTACCTATGGTTCACTTTATGTTATTTATATATTATTATAGTGGGTTTTACAGAATTTTACAAGAATATGGTGCAGGTGTTTAGAGACATACACTTAGGTCCACAATGTAAAGACGGTACTTCGTTTGTCCTCGGAAAGGATGAACTGGTTCTTTACCGCAAATTTCCAAGTTTGTGAAGTTGTTAATTAATAGATATAAACTATGATCTCAGGTACGGGCGAGTCGGGCAAGTCCACATTCATCAAGCAGATGAGAATCATCCACGGGTCCGGTTACAGCGACGAAGACAAGCGGGGCTTCATCAAGCTCGTTTATCAAAACATCTTCATGGCCATGCAGAGTATGATACGCGCTATGGACCTACTCAAAATACAATACGGGAATCCGTCCAATGGAGTAAGTGGTTTTTACCATGATTATGAACATTACGTTAGATATACTATAAGTTTGCAAACTGCGGTTTCTTACAAAAAAAAACTATTTCCTAAATAGTCATTAAATTTTTATTGCACTATTGGGATTTGAACTTGGTCATCAATATGAATAGGATACAAGCCTGTGAGAGCCGTGTCTCCTAACAAAAAGCCCCTAAATCACTTTTAATTACTAATTTTGAATTTGTAGCTAGTGGTTGGAGAGCCAGCACGTATAGCACAATTCTACAACCCACTGAATGTGTGATTTTATCATCACATAGGCTTAGTATTATATTAATTATACGAAGGTTAATGTAAATATTTCATTATAATATTTTAGTAAAGTAAAACAAAATCCCAATTTAGCTCTAAAACGAATCCTATTTAGGTGTCTTCCTTGAACTCCTCTTAATGTTATAAGACACCAAAAGATCTCTTTGTCAATTACTTACCTTTATCGATTAAAAGCGACATGCCTATTTAGCTCACAAACGAAACCTATTCCTTGGAATCCTGTTGAGAGGTTCTGGGTTCGAATCTCAGGGAATTTTAATAATTTCGATTGGGCAGGCCACCTACTTTTAATTATAAAAAATCGATCAGCGAATCAAAGACAAAAATGTCTGCCTTTAATAGGCGAAATGGTGTTTCACACATACCTCCAACATGCACACGAATTTCGTTGTTTATGAAGTCCTTGATGTTATTTTTACTTTACACTAAATGTGTTGTGCACCTATGTGCTGCGATAAAATATTACAAAATTATCAGAATTCTAGTGATATGGAAAGATACGTGAGAACACTTTCAAAGATGATGCATCGCCAACTTAAGTAAACAATGGATTTCTTTGAATAATTCTCCGGTGTTACCTTTAGTGTTTTAGAGGTCTTTTAATTAAGCACTATTAACGATTTTAAACGCGAAATATATTAACTTATTTCCTCCAACGACCATGGCATCTGCAAAGCACCCGAAACGTCAGGCCGTAGGTAAAATAAATCGCAAATAAGTTAATGTCTATATATATCGCGTTTGTAACCGTTGAAAATGTTTTAGGCCTTGCAAAATTTTATTTACAACAAACCATATAACAAGTAGGACTAAAATATTTTACTAATAGTGTTTTTATTCACACTAAAAATTACGTATTTCCTTCATTACTTATACATGATGTATGCACACGAGACGCGAATCCACGACCAATAACGTAACATGCTCTAACTCAATCCTTAATTTAGACTAAAGTTACTTACTGACTTAGGTTAGCCTAAACACATATGTATTTTAGTTCTCTGGGTTTTCACTAGATTTATAGATTTAAAAATGACATTCTAGTGCCTGGGGCGAACACATTTTTGTGTCTGTGGGGTTATTTATTTACGGATGTTTTGTCAGGCAAGTTTTTTGTAGGGTAGGCAATAACGAAAAAAATAAGTTGTTCCATCGGGCTCCGAACCCAGTAACTCGTGCTTGACATAGCTACAGACTAAAACTGATACCCTAATTAAATTTTCCAGGAACAGGCGGAGTTGATAGCTGCAATCGACTTTGAGAGCGTCACAACCTTCGAGAGCCCGTACGTGGAAGCCATCAAAGGGCTTTGGGCAGACTCTGGCATACAGGAGTGTTACGATCGCAGGCGAGAATACCAACTCACCGATTCAGCCAAATAGTAAGTGCTCTACTTACCCAAAAGCTGATTGAGATCCACTCCCAAGAAAGCCAAAAAATTATAATTGTAAATCTAATTCAGTTAAAATTCTTTTCAGCACGATAACATTTATTTAAACATAGCAGCTGCCTTTCCAGAATCTTTAAGTTAACTTACGACTTAAGTTAACTTTAGCTTAACTTCAGGTTAAATACTGTCTAGTTTACGCGAATAGTACACATTTAAATAAAACACTTTTACGGTTTAAAACGCTATATGTATTCCCCGCAACCACGACTGCTGCAAAGCATCCGAAACGTCGGGCTTAAGTTAAAAATACTTTTCAAATAAGTTTAACTAATACATATCGCGTTTAAAACCGTTAAAGTGTTTTATTTTAACTTCAAGTTGTCTAAAGGACAAGCTTGGAAAATTTGTCTTGTAGAAGGCTTTACTTTTCTTTGGGAGTCGGTTAACAATCAGCTTTAATTACATTATCTGTCGAGACAACCTCGCTAAGAAAAACCGGATAGGAATCCGCAAATGTGCGGGCCGGTTTAATCCGATTCATATTAAGTGAAGACTATGTTTTCGTATGGAATATCGTGCTATGCTTCATCAGATTTTTTATTAAATATGATTTCAAGGAGTGACCTTTCAGACAGACGTAGGCGGATGTTCGCGATATAAAAGATTATGAAATTATCTTGTAACTCTTAAGATATCTTTAAAACCTAAACTAGTACCTTTAAAGGGTTTTATAACTAACTTTGATTAACTAATTATATAAATCTGGTCGTGTTACTGAAATCAACGTATTTAGATGTAGCATGTTTCAATTAAATAGTTGACACTAACCGATAGATGGCGTTATAGTTCTCTATAAATCATTGTCAGTACATACCCCCAATGGAGCTCTACAATATTAGTTTTTTGCATCTTGGATTTCTATTCTGATATAAAGTTGGTCCAATTTTATTATATGATCTAATTCAATAATCAGCGTTTTTTAGATAAAGATATCTAAGTCGTAATCTGAAATACTTGTAAGATAAAAGATTGTATCGAGGCATTTTGTAATGTTAAATTATTAGGCATAGGTAACGTTAGGCGTTGGTTTCAAAATAATATAAATACAAACATGAACTATTGTCTAATCACTAATGAAAACAAACTACTTATTTTCAATAGCTTTATGTCATAATTATAATAATGACAACATTATTATTTTATTAACAACTACTTGTTTATCTATTGTTGACGATCTTTTAACATACAGGCGCGCGTAAAAAATAATGTTGAGTGTAAAACATTAAAGAGTTAAAATAAATGTTCCTTGAGTTTGTAAATTGCTGATTATTGGTTAGTTTTATATCGTTGTTTCGTGTAAGGGTAGAACATAGACAATAATTTATCCGTTTAACTTACTCTTTCGAACTGGTATTTACAAACTTTATTTTAAATAAAAAATAGTAGCCATAAAGCTTTGACCGCTGTCGCTCAAACGAAGAGAGGCAAAACGGTACCTAGCTTTGCGTTATCGCCAGTTCGCCCGATATCAGATTCATTTTATTCAACTCGTATAATCTGGTGAAGCATAGCACTGCCACAGAAGCGTGCCAGTAGTCCGATGGCAGGATACAAGAAAACGTTTTTCCATAGCTACTTGCAGGAGATCGATCGCGTCGCGGCACCAAATTACTTACCGACCGAACAAGACATCCTGCGCGTGAGAGTGCCCACAACGGGCATCATCGAATACCCGTTTGACTTGGAAGAGATACGATTTAGGTAACACGACAGGTGGCGCTGGTGCATGCTTCGCTGTTATTGGTGCATGTTCGTTTATGGGAATCCTCTCTTCTATATACTTCACTGATGCTGTGATCCATATTTGCTTCGTCACTTTGAAATGAGCAGCATAAATTCAGTGACGCAAATATTAATGACGGTATATGACTAAGTGGCGTGCACGTGCTTTAGTTGTTGCATGAATTTACAGCTATTTAAGTGATCTGGAGAGAATTGAGAGTCCCGATTTTCTACCGACGGAGCAGGACATCCTCCGCGCCCGACAGCCGACCACAGGCATTCTTGAATATCCTTTCGATCTTGACGGCATTATATTTAGGTACGTTCTAAGCAAGGGTAAGGGAAGGCCGTGCCCTCGTAGATCGCTATCTCACTCGCACGAAGCTCCTCCATCGACGCTAGTTAACCCTACACAGGTGTTTGCGAAGTTGACAGTTACACAACGATAGCGAGGCTCGAAAAGAACAAAATGTGATTTACGTATATTGTGATATTAGTGTGTCAAATACATTTCTTCGTGATTCGTTATCGCTTATAATTCGTTAACTTGGCCAAGGCCCCAGCACATGAAAATATGGCGGATCAATTGATAATGGAACTGAAATAGATATATTTTGTTTCAGAATCAATTCCGATTTCAGCCATAATAGGTTTTGTCGTTACTTTGGAAGCCGTAGAGTAATGTAAGCTGCTTATTGTAAGCAAGGTCGGATGGGCCTCGCATTGCGCGGTGTGACGCGCGGTAAATCTTAAATACAATTATATTCTTATGTAGTTTAAATAGTGTAGGCTCGTACTTATATATACTGTCCTCCAGCCATTATTATTAAATGCGCAGTAAACTTTTTAACGGACGTTACAAATGGGATAGTGATTTTCATTGGCTCAAAATGAATACTTAATTTTGTATTTGTAGTCTTTTATATTAAATTCAAATAATTTATTCCAAATAAAAGAATGTACATACAGAAACTAAGTTTGTTGTGGAAGGACATCACTCAGCTGTTGCTGAAACAACAGATTTCTTGCAGCGCCGATTTTCAGTGATGCCACATGATAACTCTTCGAGTGACAGCCAGAAATAATGTAGAAGCTAATAAGGAGGAAATACATATATAACTTAAAAAAAACGACTATACAATAAAAATAAAATAAACACTAAATTAATACTAAGCCGAAGAAATAATATTTACACTAAATACATTATTACGTCCATCAATGTTTGCGAATTCAACCAAATATTATTATTTATCGTACCTTATTCATACTCGTGAAACTCCGACGCAGCGTGGCTCTTGTTTATAGTTTTCACAAGAGCCTAACACCAAAAACTTAATTTAATTATAGATTTCCCTACCCTAAAAATATCCCCAAATCTTAATACAAATTTAAAACGTGAGATAACCACTGAAAAGTTCAACAATATTTTTTATTAATGGATGTAGTAAAATACAGATAAGTTATAATATAAGAATATAAATCTTATCCAGGGACGAATAAAATCTCTCAATACGTAAGCTTATTGCTTTTATCGATTTAAACTAAATAAAAATGCTTACGCTTTAAAAATCCGCTTTGTGATAACATCGCGCTTTCTTGATTTTCAGCAATTTGACGGGTTTATTTCGATTTAATACATGTTATTGATGATTTCATTAGTCCCTGGCTCCCCCGGGATCCTACTGACGACGGTTGCCTGCTCGCCTGTATTCGTAGTTTGACCGTTAAAAAGGAATTACACCATATTAGGTATTGCAACACAATCTGTTCTGTACTAACTTATTTGTTCTAACTTTATAAATTCAGTAAGAGTTTACCAAATAAGCACTTATTATAGCTATACTTAAATTACTATAGCATTTAAAAAACCGTGAATAATGTAAAATAGACTTAATATAATAAAATAATAACTTGGCTATAAAAGGAGGCGGCGGCGAGTTCCTTGCCAGTTCTTCTCGTTCGTTCTACTCCCTTGATTTAAGAACTGGTCGTAAATCTAAATTAAAACTAGACTAGACGAAGACTAGAGTAGTTTTTAACTGATGTGATGTTGACTTTGACATTTCAGGCAACCTTTTTTTTGTTATGTTATACATAATATATTTGTGAATATCAAAAATGAATGACGATCAGAACTTAGACTCGTAGAAAACTTTTTTAACATTTTGAATAAAATACTAATTTTCTAAGTTAAATATTATTTTCCTGTGATTACAAATTTTGTTTATACTAACTAAATAAAGTCTTAATGATACTATATCCGACATGTATTCTTAAAACTTCAAAAATAATTTTGTATTGCCTATATTCCCTAGCTCTATACGAAGTCTTAATAAATATACTACCTATTTAGTGTATTAAGTTTTTGTTTCAACCTAAGGTAGGTAAACTATAATCAAGGTAGACTAAGTATGTATGCATGTAAGACTCGCTCAAGTCCTGCCCGAGTGGAAATTTTTTTCAATCTATTTTCGATTTTTAAATTATAGCCTAAGTGTAAAATTAAACGACAGTATTTTAAGAAATCTAACCATTTGCGCTTAATTAACTTATTTTTTCCTCACTAATATTATTTGATTATCGCTTTTGTAATCTGTTAAGTATGTGTGCATGTTTAATGTCGCTAGTTGTAACTTATGTATTTAATATACCCAAATTATATAATTTGCGTTATCCATAATCGTATATTATTATTAATGTTAAAACAAGTCATATCTCGTCACGATTATGTATAAGGCTCTGAAAATAAAATATTTAGTAGTAACAGCTTGAAAGTAGTAAGCTTGAATAACATTTTATAGTCACTGCGTATAGCAAAAGTAGGCATGGTCCTTTTTTTTTTGTAAAATAAAGTGAATGAGTAAGCTTGCTTCAAAAGATCAATTTATTTTTTCTGAAACCCGTTAAATGTCCAGATAGAGCCTATGATAGCCTCCATCTGGACATTTAACGGGTGGTAGTAATATAAAAATCCTGTCCACATAGCCAGGCTTTTGATCCACTATCCAGGGTTTGTCTTCAGTCTATGAATTTCCTAATGTCCAAAACCATAATCAGTTGAAAGGGTATTTTGTTTAGATTTAGAGAAGGCTAGCGCATTTTACCTGCCATCAAGAGAACTTCATACTTATCTGTGTTGTATTGACTATAAATAAATATCGGTCAGAAGCTTATTTGGATATTTTCTTCAAATTTCCAAAAAAAAAAAAAGAATCTATATGTAGTGAAGGAAGTTTGACATTTTTATCAATATATATAATTGATAAGAATCATGAACATTTTTGAGGATGTTTGTGGTCATTTGTGAACTTGGGTTTTTTAATGCTGTGGAATACAAACAATGTAACCAACAGTTATTGGTCAGTTTAAAATTTGTTCTCATGTTGTACCTAAGTACATTTCTAGGAGATTTTCCTATTATAAAATGATTTAATAATTACTTTATGTATAGGATGGTGGACGTGGGCGGTCAGAGATCCGAGAGAAGGAAGTGGATTCACTGTTTTGAAAATGTCACATCTATCATTTTCTTAGTAGCACTTAGCGAATATGATCAAATTTTATTCGAGTCTGAAAACGAGGTGAGTTTAACATCATACAAAGATACAAAGATTTAAAAAATGCAAAATGAGAACTACATACAATCAAATAAAACTCTTAACGGTTTAAAACGCAGCATATATTGAACTTTTTTTGAAAACCATACTGCTGTTTTGGACTAAAACATTTTCAAATTGTTTCGCCGTAGTTTAAAAAATCTAATAAGTTTACTAATATATATCTCGTTTTACACTGCCTTACCTTAATTCTTATGCGCGAATTGTTATGAATTCTTCAGTATTTTTGTCAGTTTACCATAATAGTACAATTGCAATTTCAGAATCGAATGGAAGAATCAAAGGCGTTGTTCAAGACGATCATCACGTATCCATGGTTCCAGCACTCATCGGTAATTTTGTTCCTCAACAAAAAGGATTTGCTCGAAGAGAAGATCATGTATTCGCATCTTGTCGACTATTTTCCCGAATTCGATGGTGAGTGACGTTCATGTTTTTTTTGTAGCCAACTCTGCCAATGTCACTTGTCAAAAGCGGTTGTACTGTGATATTGTCTGCCACAATGTTGCCTTCATATGTTACTGTCAAGGTGGTGGAGATACGTGACAGCTGACAGATGTAGTTACAGTTTTCCCCACTATAGCGTAGTGGAAGTTGTGTATGCGTTTACACAGAGGGCGTGGTTAAAGTGTTATTTATATAAACTTTATAATCAGGACCAAAGTGCGATCCCATCCCAGCGCGGGAGTACATACTTAAGAAATACCTCAGAGAGAACCCCGACCCTGACAGGACGTGTTACTCGCATTTTACTACAGCCACAGGTTGATACATTGTGTAGTATCGAGCGGTAGAGCTACTGTTTTTTGATGTTCTGTGGCGATTATTACGTATACTTGACGTGTACGTACACGGACGTGGAGCTCGAATTATGTATTCGGTAGTTGCTAGTAAACAACGTTTAATGATAAAGTTTACCTTCAATTTCTTAAATTTCTGCATCGACTTTTAATATTGTAATTATTGTTCTCGCACTTAGGGAATTGATGGTAAATAACTTAATAATATTCCCTTGTAAAGCTAATAATCATTATATATTTTAAGATGGTTTTATTAGAGTAAAATTGCTAGTTATTGCTGGATTGGTGGATATTCCTTTTTCGTATTAACTTCGGTAAATGCTTAATTTTTTTTTGTGTGTAAAATTTTGTCTGCGTCTAATTAATTTTGACCCAATCTTTTGAAGGTAAGTTTTAATGCCCTTATAAACCTTGATAGTTTTTATCCACCAGTCCAAGTTTTAAAGCCATGTCGTAGTTAATCGCTAGTTCCCTAAATAGGTCTGCAACGCGACGCCAGCGCCGCGCGCGAGTTCATTCTGCGGATGTTCGTCGATTTGAATCCGGACGCGGAGAAGATTATTTATTCGCATTTTACGTGTGCGACGGGTGAGTAATGCACCTATGAGTAGCCGGCTTATGATTTGAGAGTATCTTAACAATGCCTTCATTGTTGTTGATTAGTTCGAGGGTTTATTTTTCAATTTTAAGTGACTTTTAAACGTATGGTTACTCTTTCAAATCAAAAGCCGGCATTAGTAATATACATAAATATATGAAAATACAAACACGACACAATACATACACATTATACACGACTACACTGGTTTCAATTTAAGAGCGTTTACACCTTTCGCGCGATGTCAAGTTTAGGTATTTCAGAGCAAATTTTACTTACACTCGCACATATTTGTATGTGTGAGTTGGGGCTATTCGTAGCGCAAGAACTAGTCATGATCTTTGCAATTTTATAATAATTATGCGGTCACAGAGGATTTTGTACTAGTACCGATAAAAATATATATATATAAATGAGCTTCTTTTAAAAACAGTATATGATTATCGTATAGTAGTGTCTCTTATTTGACACACAATGAAATTAATTGTCCACGATTTAAGGGCGTAGTTGTCAGTAAATACAACAATATCATCAGTTCACATTTTTTTACTGCTCAATAAAACATTTTATTCGAATTAAAAAATTATTTAATTGTAATATGAATTTTAAAAGATAAATATAAAAATTAGTAAAAAGTAATTCTCAGCGGCATCTAAAAGAAAAGTCTTCACCTGTCCAGACTGCAAATAAACATAGTCTTTAAGCACTAGAAGTAGATGGTGAAACATAGGTAGTTGTATGGCTTCTTAGTAACTAGACAATAGTTCAGAAAATAAACCGAGAATAGTTTGAAAATAATTTGGAATATGATCGCCTAGGTCAAAAATGATTTGAAAACTTTTTTGACGAAAATAAAGAAACTTTATTTATATATATTTAAAGTGATATTTTCTGATAATATGTTACGGCCGCCTAACTTGGCAAGTCTGAACATAGTTTAGACGAACTTTGGCGCATGTACACTCGTAAATTTAATAATTTAACTCGTAATTAAGTATTTGGTTAAGGATCTTATCGATTGGTTACAAGTTTTTCCTAATTACATCTTTAAGTAGTTTCATATATTTTAAGCCTCGAAAATGATACTAAACCGAGATTTAAGAAAACCCGTGTTAAGATATCACGATTTAAGGCATTAATACAGCTGTGATTTTTTTCTACTAAGTTTTTAGATAATGAAATTTCCTAAACATATAAGTAATCAACACGTTTTTACAATAAGTGGTTTATGACATTAACAGGTTTGAAAAACCCAGTTTTAACCCAAATTGCGCGTTTAGGGTGTAAAGGCTCTTAAGACCTGACGTAAAGATTTATATTATATTATAGATGAGAGGAGTGTTTCCTAAAAATTCATCGCCTCAAAATCACTGCACTATTTATATAATATTCTAGTACTTCTAAGTCAATTGTAACCTGGGATTATTGGTAAGATGTATGTTTATTATAATGTAGCTGCTTGTTTGATTTTGCGCTAAAGTTAATTTTTAATGTAGACTAGAATTCCCTGCCTGCTTTGTGCGATTATGTAGATTTATTTTTTAATTTGAAATTAATAATTTTTCAATATTTAATTATTCGTGTTATCAACTAACATATAATTATGTATTATATTGTGATATAATTTTTACTTTATACGGTTAGCGCTTCGTATTATTTAAGACATTATTTACTTCTATTTATTTTTTACTTTTTGCATGCTGCTTTGGATATCTATAAAGACACTGAAAATATTAAGTTAGTGTTTTGTGCCGTAAAGGACACAATAATGCAATCCGCTCTTAAAGAATTTAACTTGGCATGATGTGGTTGCAATTAGTTCTAAGTTCTTTAATAATAAATATTTATTGCGTATTTCGATGTTATTTTTCATTTGCCCTAACATTGCATGCACGAAGTTAAGGTAAGGCTTTCCTATTTTTTAAGTTTATAATTTATTTAAAAGTACAATTAGAGCTGAAGTACATAACACATACCTTTTTTAATACTGACATTAAACTGTATTTGGGATGTCAATTTAGTTCTCGTTGCGCAAAATCTATACAAGTTGCCCGACGTAAAGTGATTGCAGTCATTTTGAAGGCAGATGATAAAACTTACCGCAATTTATGTGTAGTCCAGCTAGTTAAACGCTCGAATGTTTCCAGACACCGAGAACATCCGGTTCGTGTTCGCGGCGGTGAAGGACACAATCCTGCAGTCCAACCTCAAGGAGTACAACCTCGTCTAAGCGGCGCCTGCGCGCTCCCTCACACAAATCTGTGATTGTGTATAACACGTAATTTAAACATCATCATTTCACGACAAAATGTATAAAGATTCGCGAACCGAGATCCGATGGACGAACGTAATTCATCTTAACAGATTTACGACAGAGTAAGGATAGATTGTAAGTCATTTAACCTAATTAATGGGCGAGTGGGCGATCCGCGCGAGGACGGCTCGTTTCAGGACCTTTTTGACATGTTTTTTTATGATGAGGTATTTCACAATTTATGTATGTGTCTGTATCGGTGAATATTGAATTGTGCATTTTTTTAAAGCGCGCGCCGAGACGTGGCCTCGGCGCCCGCCGCTTTTAGTCATTGTTTTAGGATTTTTGTAAAGTTTGTTGCCATAATATCTTTCTACATTAGTATACATTGATGTCCAGACGAATGGATTTGAACGAACTAGTCGGACGGAGTGGGGGCGCCTCGTGCGCACATTGTATATCGTATTTATTTAAGCGACGCAGCACTGTCGTCCTTCCTCCCCGCGTCCCTCGTGCGACTGTACCGTTTGTTCTGTTACTGAGGATGTTTTTAAATGTTTTAAACGATCGTGTTACTTTTGTAAATTGAAATTCTATTAATTGACATATTCTGTTATATCTTTATTATTATTTAAGCTGTTTATAATATATTGAAGGAGGTGTTTTTCTACAAGATTGACGCAGTTTATGTTTACTGTAGGCTTCACGTACGCGACGGCGCGTTCGGTTTCTCGCGACGACAATTCCATTCGGTGAGCCGGCAATAGGACTACATACGTTAGTGTAAGGACATTTTTAAATGCATTTGATATAAACTTTTTTTACTAGGAACCGGTAATATTGCGAAACATGAACTGTTTAACCGAAACTGATGTTTTTTGCACGGACGCTTAACACAGAATGTAATATATTGTACATTTGGGTCTAAATGTGCTGAGTGAATTGAGCTGACAGTCGACGCCGAGTTTTGCTATTGGCAAGCCGCGTACGCGCCCGCGCACACACGTCTACCGTTGCGATCTACTGTATTTTATTATGCTTAATTTAGTGTGTTGCTTCGTGTTTATGACTAGTTATTTTTGTATAGTAAGGAGACTATTTTGAACATGTAACTTATTTGTATTAACTTATTTGTTGTTGTGACTCTGTAACGTTCTTCGACTCTTTTATTTTAAGCGAGAACCCGTTAATGTTACTGTCAATAGCAAAACTGTTTGCTTTATGAGATACTTACACCTGTCTAAAATGCTCAAAATCATGTGAATTTGGAACTTAGCGCACAATATTGGAATCTTTCTATTCATGTTACCCACTAAACGCAATCTCTGTGTATGCCCTGTACATAGGAATTTGTTTGTGCAGTTGTACAGCGATTTTTTTTACTTTCGTTCGGCGCGGGGCCCGCTCCCTGTGCGCCCGCTCGCGTGCCAATCGTTTAGTTCCGCCGTCTGTTGACAGTTGCTTATATATTTTTTGTTACATTGTTTAATGGATATATTTTATTTAGGAGTGGCGAAACGGAACGAACTCGGGAATCGTGCTGTTCGGAGCGTGGGGTTTAGAGACGTCAATTTCATGAGATTGTTCGAATGTAAACCAAAGATAAAGATAGCTACATGTGTATGAAATTCTGTTTCGACTTATTTTACAGTCTCTTTAAGCGACGTCAGACGTGTAGCACTATAGGAAATTGATTTATGTTATAAACGATGGCTCTTGGACGACTCTCGTGAACTTTAAATGTTTTAATAAAGAAAGAAATGATTACCCTAATTTATGGCTCATCGTAATCCACAAACCGACTAAATTAAATTTAATACTTTTTAGTGTTTAAAACATGATTGTTTTTATTTCAAAACGACCTGATGCGTTTACAGCAGCGACCACCGCTATATTTTGCGTTTGTAACCGTTGAAAGTTTTTTATTTCATATGCATTAACCATCAAGCACGGACAATACAGTATGCTATTGTTCGGAAGGTGGCAAAATAGAAAACTGTTTTTTCAAAACATTCGGATACGGTAGTTCGCCTAGAGTCCATCGGTTAACAGGCTTTACGTAAAAATGTGGAGCATAAATTATACGACAGTAACGCTAGTTTACGGACTGATTATTTAATTATAAAGTACTTTAAACACCAACCCAGAGGACCAATAAATCTTAAATTATCACTCTTACTTTTGGTCGTATAGTGTATGTCAGGTGAGCAATTGCTACTCGAGCACAAATTATGTTAGGCTTCGCCTTCAAGCACAAATGACAGAATGAGATTTTTATTTATTTATACGCGTTAGTTTATGAATGTTATGGTTTCGAGATGCGACTGCGCAGGGCACTTGGCACGCGGGCGCGTGCGACGAACGGCTCCGATCTTCCTTTTCAATGACTGAATTTACCGGTGTGATTTTTTTACGATCGGGCGATAACTACACAAAATATTGCTAAAACTATACTATAGTCTAACGTTGCTTTACCTTTGCGTGAGATTGTGAGAGTTTTAGCTTAAGTTTCGACTGACGATGGATGCCTGTATGTAATATTGTAAATTATAATTTCTCATAAAATATAATTTTTTTCAGCTATGGTGTGTGTTTTCTTGAATTTATCTACCGATCGTCCCTGGAAATGAATATATATTTATTTGTGTCTCGAATGACTGACGGAAACCTCGATGAGACCTCGTATGGTTTTGCAATATGTCATGTTTAAATATTTTACGAAGACAATAATTACGGACGCAAACGTTCCATTAATAAAATTACACTGATTTTACACTTTGATAACACAACACTATAATGGCGCTGCAATTCGATGCAACGCCACAGAGCATTTCAATTTGACACGAATATGGCGCTCTTCGATAGACTTACGGGCGCGAATTGCTCAACGTACGACGCGTTAGCTCTAAGTGCGGCTAAAGTCGCTATACATAATTTCAGATGGCAATATGCCACGTTAATATTATTCAACCCTACTGCATTTTGTGGCGTCGACGTGTTCATCAAATCTTACAAAAAGTGTTTTTTAATCGGTCAGAGTACATTTAATACTTGGGTCGTCGAGAATACCCGGCAATTCGTATTGTTCTTAAGCGATGGAATCGATCTTATAGCTTTTCTGGAATGGTTAAAATCTCAACGATTCAATAATACTGGACGGTACATAATCATCTGTAACAGTCTATCCCAATTGACGTGCGACGAAGACCAAGCTGTACGTTTGTTGTGGGAGTATAGAATATCGAATGTTGTTCTCATAAAGTTTAATGCGACACGTAGACCAGTCGGATTGACCTATTTCCAAGATGGCGACTGTCGGAATAGCCCGCCCATAGAACTAAAACATTGGACAAACTGCACTCAGCTGAACGATATAGGGCAATGCCAGCAAATGTTTCCTTTAAAATTCAAAAACTTACATCAATGCCCATTGATAGCTTCGACCTTCGAACAAAAACCATACATGACATTAAAAAACGGAATACCTGAAGGTGCCGATGGCTACTTACTGCGAACGATCGTACAGGCTCTTAATGCCAGCCTAATTGTCATGACACCGAAATTAGGGACCGGTTGGGGAAAACTGGAAGAGAACGGAACGTGGTCCGGGTCTCTTAGCGACGTTTACTATGACTGGGCCAACTTTTCCATGACATCAGCGAGCGTTACGCTTCATAGATTTCGATATTTTCAAATGTCAAAAGATTATAATACGGTGACTCTAGGCTGGGTGACACATCCGTCGAATAAAGAACCTTCTTTATTCAAGTTATTAAGGCCGTACAGCACCGAAGCGGTAATATTCTTGTGCTTAGTTTTTCTTTTCATACTTTTCGTCGCTCTGCTCTTAAAGAGCAAACATTGGACAAAAATAAGGAACAAACTTAATGTTGGCGAACCTCCCGAAGGTATCTTGTTTCATTCGTGGGAAATTTGTATGGGAATGCCGGCGTCAAAACTGCCGAATAATCCCATACTTTTGTATTTCGTACTCCTTTGGATAATAAATTGTTTCATGTTGAGAACCCTGTATCAAGTTTATCTCATTAACTCTATACAAGCCGATATACGGATTGATAGTATATCAAAAGTCGAGGACGCTATCGCCTTGGGGTATCCGTTTGGGGGAGGTTTAGCACTCAAAGATTTCTTTATCGACTATCCACTCATCTACAATAATTACAAGAACATCGAGAGCCATCAAATATATCCCACAATGGTAAACATGTCGCAAGGGATGAAATTCGTCATAGCGATGAATTTAGAGAGTACCAAAGCGTTTCTCAAAGAACCCTCAAGAAAACTGCATATTTTGCCTCGGGAGATAGTAAAAAGCCCAACTGTCCTTTTCTTCAAGAAATATTCATGGTTGGCCGATTCTATTGATAGTATTTTAACTACTTTGTTCGAATCTGGTATTGTGCTGAAAATCTTCAAAGACAATACGTTTACACCCTGTAAGGACGACGAAGATGCACCTTCACCGATTACCTTAGACGATTATGCGGGTTGTTTTATGATATTAGCAGGTGGGTGGATAACGTGCTGTTTATTTTTTGTCATTGAAAAATATTACTTTATGAAGAAAGTTAAGAATAAAAAATAAAACCATTAATTAAAGTGCTGTCAAAATAAATAAAAATGCTTTACAATAAGGAAAGACCAATGAATTGATTTTAAATAGGGTTTAAGGTTAGCTTAACAGTCACGCAATAGTGTAATTTGTTACACACTTAAAAACATTAAATTCTTATTATAGATACCTTGGGCTTTTTCATTTCGCCATCAATTAATAAACAAAATTTACAAATATCTACACAAAAAGAAATAGTTATCAATAATCTAGACCTCATTAACAAAATATATGAGAATAAATGGTATTCATTTAACAGTAGCACACATCGTTAATCTTTTTTAATAGCATTATTGTAGTCATTGTGTACAAAAAAAGCAACATCAATTGATTTTAACGCTAACGCTTATTACGCTGACCAGTTATTTTGATGTCTTTGAAGATACGACGTGCATTTCTTACCTAAATAAGGGATTTATCTCGGATTATTTAAAATGAATGAACACTACTCGCATTTAGTAAAACATCGGTGTCATTTGGAGAATGTGGCTGAAAGCGCTGCAAAAGTTGCTGATTACACCTTCAATTGGCAGCACGCCACTTTGATTTTATTCAATTTGACAATACTGTGCAGCGTCGATGTTTTTGCGAAGTCTTATAACAAGAATATCAATCTTTTTAACATTTCGAAAGGGAGGCAGCATATAACTTGGCACTCGGTAGAAGGTACGATGCAGTACGTCTTATTCGTCGATGACATAGCTGACCTGATTAGGGTCCTAGCAGCATTGAGGAGGCGAAATTTTAATACCAACGCCAAATTCATCATCATATGCAATAGAAAAAACAATCAATGTGTTAAGAGTAGAGCTGTAGAAGTGTTGTGGAGTTACAGAGTGACAAACGTTATTTTAATTAAAGAAGAACTTTCAATGGTGACAGGTTATACGTTCTTTATAAGCGAACTCTGTGACATGCCTATACCGCGGGTGTTAAAACATTGGAATGACTGTATCTATTCGAAACAGGACAAGAATACATTTTGCACTACGAAGTATATGTTCCCAGTTAAGTTTAGAAATTTTCGCGGCTGTCCCTTGCTTGTCTCGACGTTTTCTCAAGTACCTTACATGATGATTGAAGATGGTGTTCCCCGCGGTGCAGACGGCGACCTGCTACGTTGCATAGTGCAAGCTCTCAATGCTACGCTTGTTCTTGTCTTTCCACCTGATGACGATGGTTGGGGAACTTACGAGAATAATACGTGGACTGGTTCACTTGGTGACGTTTATAAGGGTTTGGCTAACTTCTCTATGACCTCGGCTAGTGTAACGCTCAAGCGATTCCAGCACTTTGATATGTCAGTAAATTATTTCAGTGTTAATCTGGTATGGGTAACGCATCCCTCCCATGATTTTGAATCTTCATCGTTAAAGCTGGTGAGACCGTATAAGGGTAACGCTAGAATTCTTGTTATGCTTACATTTGTTGTTGTTCTGTTAATGCAAGTCTTTGTAAAAACAAGGTTTTATAAGGGACTAAGCGCACGATTTCATTTCGGCGATGCTCCCAACTCTTTGCTGTTTCATGCATTTCGAAGAAGTCTAGGTTTACCAATGAAATGTCCAAAAAGCTTATTTTTTAAATATTGCACGTTTTTGTGGGTATGGTTTTGGTTTCTAGCCCGAACGTTTTATCAGGTACATCTTATAGAATCCCTGCAAACGAACGTACCTGTCAATAGCATTAACACTATCGCAGAAGCCATTGAAGAGGGTTACACGATCGGAAGTGGTCCGGCGTTGAAAGACTATTATCTCGATGATCCTTTCGTTTATGAGAATTGGATCGACGTTGACACTGATCAAAATTTGCCCATTATGAAGAATTTGACAGAAGGTTTGAAATTTGTACTCGCAATTAATCTAGTGTCCGTAAAGGCATTTGAGAAAGCTACTCGCCTACGCTTACACGTGCTGTCAGAGCGAGTGTTGAAAAGTCACACAGTGCTATTTCTCGAGAAGCATTCTCACTTAACGAAGTCAGTTAACATCCTATTGAATCGTTTGTTTGAAGCTGGAATACCAGATAAATTATTCGAAGATTACACTTTTACTGCACGAGAATCTAAGACAAAGGCCAAGGAACCAATAAGAACGGAACATTTTATGGGTTGCTATATTATATTGATTGTAGGTTGGATTTTATCTGCTATTGTTTTTCTGGTAGAGAAGATTGTACACCGTATTAAATTGAGACGAAGTAGCATCTACTAGATAGTAGTATGATATCTATAAGAAATTTAAATGTATAACTTAATTAATAAACAAGTAGATTCTGATGTTTTTTTTTCTCTCATTTCAAATTAATAGCACATTGTCCTTACTTTATAAGGCAGTGAAAGGTATCACAACCGCATACGTTCTGTCTTAGCTAAATAAAAGTTTTGTCTACCTCCTAACATCTATAATTCCGTCAAATAAAATTAATTTATTAGCTTCAATATGATATTAATATTTACAAGAGATCTTTACATTGTCGTCTTACATGGCCGTCTAGGAATGGTAGTTCAGCAGTAGTTCATTATGACATCTGTGGTGCAAGGCTTGAGGCAGCATTCGTCTGCGAGGCCCCCCTCGTTTGTATCGGGACCAATCAGCGCTGATGGCTCCGCGCCGTCCACCCCACATCAATTGACCAATCCATTTATCACCGTCTAATGCCGCTGTGAAACCGTTTATTTGCATAGTAAATTGATTTTAGCGTTATCTGTAGATTTTAATCGTAACACCAGTTCTAGATATGAACATTGTATACAGTAAAAGGTTTTAATCATTATAATGGTTTAGGCGAAATGATTGAACTGTTGTCGTTTCATACGTGCAGTATATGTTCCTTGATGATATCAAATTGTATTAATCTGGGTACTTACCAAGTAATGCTTGAGGTGAGGCCCGCTTCGCGACATATTCTGCCCCATAGCAGACCAAAACCCTGGCGTTCGCGAGTTCCCGTCCGCACAGGACCACCGGGGCTTGCTGTTCCGCCTGAACTAACGACATTGCACAGAGTACCGCTACCGCTAGCTTCATGCTCGGATTCTAAAAATGAATGCAAAAAGAACAAACATCCAAGAGCATTCTACGTCCTTGTCCTTTAAGGAATTGAAATTATTGGGTCAGTTGCTAGCCTAGCAAAATTACCGGTGAAAAAATATAGTCGGTAGGTATCTAGTTAATTTTCTATCAATATCGATAAGAAGCTGAAAAAAAGTTTACAAGAAGTCCTATATTCTTATTATCTATGTAATATATGTAATATTTTTTATCACAGATGCACCAGGAACCTTTTGTTAGCAAAAACATAAACTCCAGACACAACTGAATTAAAGTAACTTTATCGATTTACTCATAAATTTGGTCCCCGGATGTAACTGACTGAAATCGATAGAAAACTTTCAAAAACGCACTGTAACTGTTTGCTTACCAATAAATGAAAGGCTCTTTTAAGATCTACCTTCTTCAGATATTCAAATGTACCCTGATATTGGGTGAACCCAGGTTTATATAGTTTGGTGAAAATTATAATATTCCCAGTCCGTGTTCATATTGGAGGAACAAGCGGATTTTTAATTCAAAGAAACATACTTAGGCGTATTAGGTAATAGTTTGTATATAGTAGGGATGTGCCGAAATGGCAAAAAAATATTTTATGGCTTATATAATAAAACTTTGGTATATGGCTTTTTACTTCATTGATCGATGCTTATCTATACTAAATTTAACATTTTGTATTTGCATTGTATTGCTTTTAAACACTGAACAAATGACTCATTAAGTATCTTTGCTCTCATAACTACAGTACCTAAATGTTAATTGCTGAAGATATATAATTTTTTTTAATTTGTCAAAACGCTTGCGCTGACGCGTTCACGCTCGTAATGGAGTCATGCCCTTATTGTCACTTCGATTACTCACCTATTGAAAACCTCCGCGTGCTTATACGAAATTATCATATTTGTCTACAATTAATTTAACCCTAAGAATTAACTGCGTCACAGTGTAGCCGTTTGCCAAAAATAGCTGTAGCCTTGAGACGGTGTGGAGGCGTCCAAACAAAATCTTCTGATATTCTTTTTCTTAATTCAGACTTGTGCAGAGTCTAAGATCGTCTGTGTGTTAATAAATAACATTCAAAGAGTCTGTGTTCCCGCACTGAGAAATACGTCGAATGCAACGAAGAACGTCGTGCCGTAATTGTAATAATTTGGTAGTTTAACTTAACAATTTCGCGTTTTAAACCGTTAAAAGTGTTTTATATAATAATGTTATAGTTAAATACTGTCTGTAGTTTAAGCGAGTAGTACACATTTTATAAAACACTTTAACGGTTTAAAACGCGATATATTACTTAAACTTATTTGAAAATGATTTTTAACTTCGGCACGACGTTTCGACGTTTCTCCCCATGACCACGGCTGCTGCAAAGCATCCGAATCCGAAATTTAAAAAAATGTTATAGTTTTTTGTGGTTTACAGTTTCATGATGAATTTACTGTTTTAAGCATATTCGTGTAATATTTGACTTAGTGAAACAAAAAACGTATCAAATTTTATAATTATAACTATACGCGGTTTACTCTTCATCTATTCCTAAGGTTTTCACTTCTGAATAAAACACAACATTTGTTTTTCATTAAGTTTAAATACTTGTGCTCTTAGTGAACCTATAAGATACATTAATTATTTGACAATACACTTCATAATCAATACATATTGAGAATGCTATATGTATTATTGGACTTGGGAATTGGAAGATTATAGAATAAAATTATTGTATTACATTATAAAAATTACATTACAGGTAAGTTGTCTGTCTATTAAATGTCGAAAATATTAAAATATATATATATATTTGTGATTTTTATATGTATATAGGATGACAAATTATACTTTATAAGAATTAATCAGGGCCAGATTGAAATCTTTTCTACAAGACTAAAAAGCGACAAGTGGACTATTTTTAGTAATTAAGCACTAACAATTTCGTATTTATCTTAATGGTTGCAGAGTTGAAAACAATATTAAATCAAATAATTAGTGTGTAATTACTAATGTGTTGATTTGTGCTTTAAATTTTAAAGTAAATATTTGTCGTTGTTCTATGTCTATTCAAACACCACTGCTTCTGACCCAAGATTACACATTCCAATATCATTTATCAAAGCCGAATACTTGAACAGCTTTCAAATATCCTTGTTTCAAACGGATGTAAGGTTCCTTGAACCGTAACTTCATCTTTAACTGACATTAAATTATTATTAATCGAAGATATTGGGGTTCTCCTGTAGGAGTTTGGCATCGTCCGGGCAGTACATGATGATGTTGCTCACTGTGCACGGTCGCTCGCAACATTCACTTGCGACTTGTCTGCGCACGCGCCGCCATCTCTCTTCCGCGAGAAAGCGTCGTCTGTTGACACTTTGTAGATCTCTTGGTGCGAGTTTATCTGGTGAAAATAAATAACTGTAAGTACCTACGTGCCTTTGCATGTTAGGTAGTAAATCTATAATAATATTATAAAGCTTAAGAGTTTGTTTGAACGCGCTTTTCTCAGGAATTTTTTTTTTTCGATTTTTTTTTGAGTTAGATTAACATACAGTGCGAACTGTGAAACAAACGGGGAAATTTTGCATCTTTGAGACATTTCGTTGCGTGCGCTGCGAAAGCGGTTCAAGATACCGGAAGAATATTTTCAAAAGAACGATTCCTCTTAAAATGATCTAAAAAAATGTCCGTGACAGTATATGTCTATCTTTTATGATTAACTGGCGAGAACGAGGTCGGGCGTAACAGCTATAATTTATTAAGTGGAGGGGGAAGTTTGCAAAAACAAATTTATGAAGCTCTTTTTAAGTTTTTGACACAAAATATTAAGAACATAAACAGCCATAGGTGTTTTCAATAACACAAAAATACCCACCCATCAATAACGACGTATCTCGTTTGACAATTTTGTAGACGTTATTACAAAAGTTATCAATAATCGATGATAGCCACTTGCTGCAGGTGAATATTCGATCTGTCATTCTGTATGTTCCCGCGTCTTCGGCTTGGGCTGGGTTGATGTTTGCGTGAATGAGTAATATGATGTAAGCCTGGAATAATTAAATCAATATATAAATACTTTTGCTATGCTTTTTTATGCAAGGGGAGAATACTACGAATATCGTTGGGGCATGGATTCGATCTCTACCGGTTCTGACATTTTTCTAATTAAAACATGTCGGACTCCATCTGGAAATCTGGATATTAAATGGTAGAAATATCGACATTTCGTCCGAACACGAACCACCGTTTACAGAAAAAGCGTGAAGTTTTTTCAGTCTATGAATTTCCGAATATCCAAAGCTAAAATATCTTGTCAGAGCATCTTGTATGGCTGGAGTATTTCACCTTCCATCAAGTGAATTTTATATTTGTCTGTCCTCTGCTATCATAAAAAATAATGTAACATAAAATACAAAAGCCGAAAACGCTATAAAATAATTCCTATGTATTTAAAAGCTAGTAAAATTTGAATATATTATAATTAAAAATATATTTTTTTTTATTGAGGATTATTAAATTTTAAATCCAAATTACTAAATTAGGCTAGCAAGAAAAAACAAAAGAAGTAATAAAAAATGAAAACATACGTAATATTTGAGGTCCATCTCAATCGATTACACTAAGAGCACAATGGGTGTTTGGTTCGTCAAAGAGTTACCTTATGAATGGTCTTACAGAAATCGTTCCCAACTAAAATAATCTAGTGGTCCATAGGACGGAATTACTTAAAACTTGTTTACGCCGATAAGTAACGTTTACAAAATATTGTCTCCGCATTAAGATAACAGATGTTCACATTAATTGCTCGATAACGAAATTAAAAGCGCATTGATACTGCATTCGTAATTATATTAAATAACACTTCAAATTATAGTCTGTAGTTTGAGACAAAGAATAAAACGGTTTTAAAGTCGAAATATATACGTTATGTTAAAATCTGTGGCCATAGCTGCGTAGTTAAAAATACAACAAATATGGTATGCCCCTTTTAAACCGTTGAAAAGTGATTGACTTGAAGTGCCAGTTTATAATTGTAACATAGATTCAAGTCTCGGGTAAGTACCTACAACTATCATTGGAGATCAAGATTATAGATTCTAAAAATACTATCTAATAACGAGGAAAACGACAGAAAATTATTATCAGATACTGAATGAAAAACGGAAAAATGTAAAGGTTTTTCCTTTTGTTGCTGAAATGAAAAAAAAAACGCGTTTACACACACGTGTCCGTTTCATTGTTTGGTTTTATTTACAGGCAACTAGTTGATCAGACCTTTCTAATCGACCGATTATTTCCTCAGGGTTCGAACCTAGGATCTCTTGCGTTTAACGTAATACTAGACAAGTCGGTTAACCATTTAGCTACAGATGTGTGTCACAGACATAGCTTAGTCCTGAATCAAGACAGTGCTAAGAAAACTAATCAATTCTTAAAAATATCAGATCCTAAAAAAACTAGCGTGAACCCAGTATAACCAAGTCACCCAAACTGTTTCACTCTCGCCATAAGTAAACCCCAAATAAATGCGGATGAAAGTTCACTTTCCGTGCACATAGCAACACGCGTTATCTTAAGCGCCAGTGAGAGGTGACTATGTAATCGTTCTATACATAAATTAAAAATAAGGGTCCTTAGGTCACTGTTTACTCAGACAGATTGTGATATATCGTAAACAACATTTATAATGCACACATACAAAATGAGTCTGGTGTATTCTGTTTTTGTGTGTTATTTATTTATCTAATACTTGTGTAAAAATAGAGACGAAAATAAAATTTGAGGCTTTTCTTTATACAGTGTGAGAAATATAGCGACACATTGGACGGTTTACAACGTGTACGATATTGGAAAAGTGATTTAAATAATAGATTTTGCTTTTTAAACCGTTAGACTAGTTACATAAAATACAGATCAATGCGAAACAGTCTACTGAGTGTTTTTGTGTCAAATCAAGAATCAAGAACTTCAGATATATATAATTTTTCGGTAGTTTTATTTAAGAGGTATTTACATATAGGTTAACAATGCATCACCTATTGTCGTAATGAGGTAAGATATCTTAGAACTTAGCAATAAGAAAGTTCTAAGAACGCTTTGAGAGATTTATTTAATTTTTCTATACTCACAGCCCTATTGATAAGACTATAATTTGGAGGAAAAAAATTATAATTTGTAATGTGATAGGATAAAAATAAAAATCTTTACAATAACACTACACGAGAATAAGATTCGAAATAATAGGTTTTCTCCAAGGCACATAGGTTGTTTACATTACTTTAATTCCATATAAACATAATAGTGTCAACGATGTAATATATCACAATTTACGGATATATTTCAAATTCTATTTTATTGAAAACTCCGTCAACCTCTAATAATAATAGTACTATACAAATCTTATAAGTTAATTACTACTTATCAAACTTTTCGGTGTCAAAAACAACTCCAAACTTTAGATCCTAGTAACACACGTTTGACCTATTTTTAAGATGATAAGAACCATTGTTAAGCAATTTAATACAATTATTTTTATAACTTCATCCTAGGGTTGTACATCTTATGATAATAATCTATACTAATATTGTAAAGCTGATGTGTGTTTTTGTTTAAACCCGATTATTTCTAGAACTACTATGATGGAATAATAAAAAATAGTGTTGGTTAGATCATTTCACGATAAAACCTTTTGGCTATAAAACATCAGGCTGCGAGCAATAAGAGCGCACCACAAGCAAATAAACGGAAAAGAAGACACAACGGAAAGAATCTTCTTTAAGGGCTTCCTTTGCGTACGCTTTGAAAACTTTTTGAGATACCCGAAAAATATGTTTCTTTAAATGTTCTAAAAATGTCCGTGACATTATGTGTCTATTAAATTATCTCGTTTTTATAGTAAACACATTTCGTCGAAACACTAGCTCGCGATCGTGCAAGAACGAGGAGCTCGAAAAGCCGTCTCATAAGAGACGCTAAAACTCAAAACTCCGGTAGACCGCCACTTCGAAAGAATGGAAGATCACCGAAGTGTCAGACGCCCGTGCCGTGGTCCTAGATCTGAAACGAATTCGGTGTCCCCTACCGGCGAACTGTGACGCATCAGTAACAAAAGTGGCGTCGTCTTGTACTGGAGGCCAAGACCCATTTTAGGGTTCTATACTCGGGGCGTAAGTAAACCCCACTTGAGAAAGCTTTTAGTACACCTACGACCTATTCTTGTTTCATATACTACCATGGACCCACCATGATTTTCCAGACTAACAGGCAAAGACTTCTTAACGCACTTTCCAAGACTTATTTCCCTAATTTAATCTATTAAGTTTCTTTTTAAATTTTGTACTGTAGGTATAGAATATAGATTACCTTAAAAAAATCAAAAATCCAACTAATATATCACCCGACCATGGACTTCGTAATCTCCTACTGAGTTTAATCACTAGACGAACGAGGTAGATCAGCGTCCACAAATTCAAAGTAATCTACCTTCTTTGATAGTAGATCCTATATTATATGTAGATACTGATCGCAAGAGGCAAAACGGGACTGCGCTGTTTATTTACTCGGCATGTGATTTGAAGATTTAAGATGTCATTTGTATAGCTATGATATTATCAGTACCATACTAATATTTTAATAACATTATTCAACTGTCTGTGAAAAAGATTTGTTTATTATTAGCTTTTACGTCTTATATATGAATTAAAAATACGCAAGATTTAATGTCTTAAATTTTTCTACTTCGACATAAATTTATTTTATTTCTTTAAATAAAACACTTTTAACGGTTTAAGACGCAACATATATTAGTTAACCTATTTTTACTTGAAAAAAAACATAGTTAACTAAAATATTTATCTGTTTAATCCGTTCCTGTATCTAAAAGTAACAAATCCATAAGTAAGTATCTAACGTAACATTGTTTTTTTTCATCATAATTCATTTTGAAATAAATATCATGATTGATAGGATATCAGCGAAAAGAAGGTGCTTGAAATTGTGCAGTCAGTCTGGGCGACATTTTGAATGTACAACAAGTAGGTAGCCATTGATAACAGTAAAATAGACAAAGAAATCTCAGATAAAATAAGAAGTTCATTCGTCAAGTGGCGTGATTTGTTTAACCGATAATGGATTGTTACCTGTGCGATTAGATGTAATCGTGTATGTTAAGATGAAGGATAAGACTTTTAGGAATTAGTTACTTCTTAGGAATTTCATCGTCACCGTAAGAAGTTAAGTCCCGAAGCCGCTACAGGGTCAGCGTAAGACCAATCGACCTTATCTAATTGATTAAGAAGTGTTTTCAAATAGTACTTTAAGGGTTAAAATAGTCATTTATTTTGCTTTTTAATTTAAATGTGTAGGTACTACTCGCGTAAACTACGTACAATACTTATGATGTGTTAAGCCATTTTGATATCTTCATAATTTTCTGTGTGTGTTTACTTGTGTAAAAACGTGAAAGATATAAATAACAGATTATTTGTTATGTTGATTTCGTGACAGTTGTGTTATATTAAGACATTAAAATCAACGATAAGGCGTAATACAGGAATAAATATATACCTACACACTGAAGATAGGTAGCGACTATGTGGTTTGAAATCGTAAATTTTTGGACATACCTTGCCTAAGATAAAACAATGTCAAAATTTAATAATTACTTATTTTAACTTGTAACCCAAGAAAGGCCTATAATCCTAGTTGGCTTTACCTAATATTTCTCAAATGGCTTCACTCAAATATAAGTACAGTTAGCAACGAATTTAAGATCTGTACTAAAAATTGCAAATTCTATCACATTCGATGCATCTCTAAGCTATTCTAAGTATACCGTATATGGAATAAAAAATATAGGTATGTATTAAAAACTAATATTTAAAATTACTAATTATTAACACATGTAAAAAATAATAATTGATTTATATAAAAAATCGCAAATAAAATTGAACTTTTTAAAATATTTACCACGTGAGACAAATCGATCGGTCGGGTTTAATGACGACGTTATTTGCTTATAAACAGGTGCTATAAACCACCGTGTTCTCTTATTGTAACTCATTTTATTATTTAAATTACTGTCAAAATGTTTTTGGTTTGATTGATTGGTACAAATCCATATAGATCATACGTGATCCACTCGTGACATCACTAGCCGTATTGCAGCGTTTTTTCGGAAAATTTGTAGTTAGGCGCGCAATTTAAATGCTGGATTTATAATTTGATATATCTCAGCAAATAAGTATCAGAATTAAAAAATACTCTGGGGTTCCTCGACATCTACCAAATAATATAAAGTACATTTTAAAAACCAGTCAAATAACCTAGTTTCTTTCTATCTGTACCCGCATAATATTTCACGATAATTCGCTTAGTGTCGCTCCGGGCGCCTTATATCCACTGCATGTCACGATTCACGAATAAGTGTGTTATTTGCCTGCGGACAACATACCTTTCGACAATAACTCTTTCCAGCGTCAAGGTTAGGTAATTTCAACCTTTCCGTTTAACATATTTGCTTACATCAAGTGACGCGAAAACGCCGATAACAAACTATATCGCTAACTCAACTCATCTGCGATAACATTATCAGTTCGTACGTTTTAGTGTATTAAAACTGTTCTATTCAAAAAGTTATTGTTGTCGCTCTCGCCCTTTGCGCGATTTCACAGTGATGGTTATGTTAACTTAAAATGGTAGCGTGGTTCATATTTTCTATTCTGGTGGTGATTACGAGTGCTCATCCAGCTGACAGCGATAAAGGTAGAAGTTTTTAGTTTATAGGAACGTTCTGGAAGTATTCATGGCTTCAAACACCTGTTTAATATACGGCATCAATTTGCTTAATTAAATAATTTGTTTTGATATTAATTTATAGGAATAGTGCGCAAATACCTACATGTTACGTTTGAATATATACGTATACAAAAACCTTTTGGGTTTCAAAACATTGTTAAAACTAAGATTTTTCTATCTTTAATACTGAAAAAAGATATTGTTTATTATAAAATACGTCTAATTACTAACGGTTTATAATTCGTTCGCGTCAATATTGTCATCGACGCCATCTTATCAGTGTAATAGGTATTGTTATAAATATGAGAACGAAATATAAACAATAATAAATACAGATAAACGTATTACCCTGAGCTATAAATGGAATCGAACCCGAGGTTTTGTGGCGCCAAAATGTATTAATCATTATATAGGATACTTAACGTCGTTGGTAATAACATCATGCAAATAATGCAAAATCTAATTTAATACGATGCTTTACGGAGATTAAGGTTTTTCAGTCCTTTTGTGTGTAACTCAGTTGCATTGAAGGAGGCCTTGGGTTCGAATCCCGATGAAACGATTATTAATTA